TGGAGCCCCCCTAGCAGTGAGCTCCTCTGTCTCCCCAACTCTCGCTCTCCTCTGGTGCCTACACACGGTCTCTGCAGTCAGCTCCCTTTAGACTCCCACTGGTTGTGCGTCCGTCTGGAATGCCCCTTCCCTGCGTCTGGCCGCCTCCCCACCTGCTGGGGGGGGGGATGCTGCCTGATGCCCGCCGGTGCCTCTCCCCACAGCCCCCGAGGCCCCTGTCATCGACACCCAGCGCACCTACGCCTATGACCAGATCTTCCTGTGCTGGCGGCTGCCGCAGCACTCGCCGCCCGCCTGGCACTACACAGTGGAGTTCCGCAAGACGGACACCAAGGCCAAGGGGCTGAAGCTGTGGCAGCGGCGGGAGGAGGTGCGGGGCACCAGCGCCCTGGTTGAGTACCTGGACACTGACAGCGTCTATGTGCTCCGGGTGAAGGGCTGCAACAAGGCGGGTTTCGGGGAGTACAGTGAGGATATCTATCTGCACACTCCACCCGCCCCAGGTGAGGGGAGCCACGGGATCAGAGCATCCACCCAGAGCTCCCTGGTAGCTGCTCACACCCTCCTCCTCACCCACCCTCTTCTCCTCCTTCCCTCAGTCCTCAACTTCTTCCTGGACAACCGCTGGGGCTTCAACCGGGACCGGCTGGCCATCAGCAAGGACCAGCGCGCCGTGCGCAGTGTCCCTGGTGTCCCCATGCTCTTCGCTGCCGAGCGCCTGATGACCAGCTGCCACCTCTCCATCGACCTAGTTATCGGGGGCGGCGGGAGGAGGTGCGGGGCACCAGCGCCCTGGTTGAGTACCTGGACACTGACAGCGTCTATGTGCTCCGGGTGAAGGGCTGCAACAAGGCGGGTTTCGGGGAGTACAGTGAGGATATCTATCTGCACACTCCACCCGCCCCAGGTGAGGGGAGCCACGGGATCAGAGCATCCACCCAGAGCTCCCTGGTAGCTGCTCACACCCTCCTCCTCACCCACCCTCTTCTCCTCCTTCCCTCAGTCCTCAACTTCTTCCTGGACAACCGCTGGGGCTTCAACCGGGACCGGCTGGCCATCAGCAAGGACCAGCGCGCCGTGCGCAGTGTCCCTGGTGTCCCCATGCTCTTCGCCGCCGAGCGCCTGATGACCAGCTGCCACCTCTCCATTGACCTAGTTATCGGGGACGTGGCAATCACGCAGGGCAAGAGCTACTGGGCCTGCTGTGTGGACCCCAGCTCCTACCTGGTCAAGGTGGGCGTGGGGCTGGAGACCAAGCTGCAGGAATGGTTCCAGGTGCCACAGGATGTGGTGAGCCCCAGGTGAGCAGGGCATGGGGGTGTGGAAGGTCCTCTGCCTGTTCCTGCCTCCAGGCACCAGCTCTGGGGCATGAAGGGGAGCCCCAGCCTGTCCCTCATGTGTCAACACCAGATCTCACCCATCCCCCCACTGCAGGTACGACCCGGACAGTGGCCATGACAGTGGGGCAGAGGACACAACGGTGGAGGCCCCCCCGCCCTATGCCTTCCTCACCATCGGCATGGGCAAGATCCTGCTCTCACACGGGTCAGCTCTCACCTCCCGTGACCCTAACGGCTGTACCATTCCCTTGCCCCCCCGCATCGGCATCTGCCTGGACTACGAGCAGGGCAAGGTGAGCTTCTATGACGCCGTCTCCTTCCGTGAGCTCTGGGAGTGCAGCGTGGACTGCTCAGGGCCCGTCTGCCCTGCCTTCTGCTTCATTGGAGGGGGAGCCCTGCATCTCCAGGAGCTGGTGGCCAACAAGCAGGAGCGTAAAGTGACCATCGGGGGCTTTGCCAAGCTGGATTGAGCTGTGCCCATGATCCCCGCACATGCCACCGTCACCCCCATTGCCCAGTGAGCTGGGGGGACATGGGTGGGCAGGGAGCAGAGCACAGCAAGGGCAGCCCCGGCCTGGCTGCCAGCTGGGAGCAGGCCAGGTGGTTCTTTTGTGGGGTGGGGAGAGACAGGGACAGCTCTGCTGTCCCCTCTTCTCCCCATCTGCCTTCCCCTTTCCTCAGCTCGGCTTGAGGCCATGGGCAGGGCTGTGGTCAGGGGGTCAGCCCTAGAGATGGAGCAGGGAGGGGGGTGTGAGTGGGACACAGGGATGTGTGGGGAGGGGGTTGGCAGGTGATGGTGGGGGTGACAGTGGGGGTGATGGTGGGG